GAATTAGATTTTTTTTACTATAATTGGAACTGTAACAGCTTTCCATTTCTTCATTAAGCCCCTGAAGAAGGACAGCTTATCTCTCCAAAATATTGGGAAACCTCAAGTAGTTTTTGTCGCTGCTGTTTTGTTATACATGTTTTATATTACTGCTACCACTCATGTAGACCATGCCACTCATTGCCAAATTCACTATGTTTTAGGGATTCTGGTTCCAAAAGACACCCTGTTCAAGAAACTAAACATTGTATACCCTGTTTTGTCTAGGCCATATTATAGGGGAATACTCACCTCCCCACCCCTCCCCCCTTTCCCACCCCCAGGTGGGGGAAAGGAAGGGAGAAGAGACGCATGCATTGGCATTCACACAACCTATGCAAATGCAAATGATTGACCACTTATTGAGATCGACAACATTTGAAATAGCTTGTGGTCTGATAATTATTCTCATCAAACAGTGCCTAATACACTCGTATAATAAAAGGCAGACTAAATCCTTGTGCTTGGTCGTGTCTAATTTCATCAGCTTTTTATAAACAAGCGTGCTAAATTATATTTAAACTCAGCGGTGAATATTTGAAAAAAAGGCTTTACTTACCTTCATCTCTACCACTCAACTATAGTTACAAGTACGTTCGTTCTGAAATCTCTTGAAAAATAAAATATCCTTTTTGGATATTTTGCGTTTCCCGCGAACCTCCCCTCCCCGGTGGTCGACCCAGTCTGTTTGCGACCTCGTATATCATGAGCCCACGGTACAAGATACCAAGATGGCGGACGTGAAGGACTTGAAATTGTAAGTTATTTCGTCGATTATAGGTTATTTACTCCTTAAAGTAAACCGTTAGATGGAGTAATTTTGAACATTTTTATAATCAAATGTTTTAGGGAAATATCTGTGCCTTTTTGCACGGAAACTGAAGCGCAAATTGCCTGCAATTCCCTCTCTGTTGATCCAGAGCCGAAGCGTGGAGGTGTCAAGAAAGAACTTCTGGTGAAGGGAAATGTGTTACAAGCGTGAGTATTTCCTTGTTTAATTAAAATGTGGTGTGATTTCCTCAGTTCTGTGAGGTCCCGTCTATGTCCCATCGGCGCAGCTTTGGTTGATTTGATCATGCCTCAAGCCCTATTTTTGACGTTTCCAATTTGGTCCCAATAGAGGCTAAAAAAAATTTCAATGAGATGATACCACGTGCTCACTAAATGACTTATTTTTTCGATATTTTTTTTGTTTTTAATTTCTGATCTAATGACCTTTACTAGGAATTTAACCATGCCTTCACTGTGTTAATAAGATACTCTTTTCATCATTGAAATGTTATTGTATTTACATATTTCATTGTTACAATTAAGGCAAGGCAAGCGTACCTCCCAATATTCTATTAATGGATTGATTATTTGAAAAATGAATCCGTTAGTCGTTCCCAAAACTAGTGTCAAATTCAAATTGACATTCCTGCATGCATCATGAGCAATGAATATTTTACGAGAACTTCTCTGTATTAGGTCAGATTGAAAATCTTTGAATGGGTTTAATAAATTTCTTAAAAGACATTTGCATCAAATTCAGGGAAACTTATCTGGTAGAATTTTTTGTAACTGAATCACGTGTGAATTCACCGCTTATTATGCATGCAAGAATGCATAGACGAATCTGAAATGTACAACTACCAAGGGATTCAACCTTCGAATAATAAATTCATTAATGAAATCTTGGGGGTACACTTCACCTGGCTTGAATGTAATTCCCATTTTCACCCCTTGCTTTGTTGCACACAATAAAGAACTTCAATTATTCCCAATTTTAAACAGGTCCATGTCATCTTCTGAAGCCAAAACACTGAGAGTTTGTGCCAACTCATTTCTCGACCATTTATCTTTGGTTGTGGAGACAATTGAAGCATTTGGACCACCAATGGAAGAGTCGTGACTGTGCCATATCCCATTACTCCTTATAAATTGTGAAAATCTAGATTCTCCTCAATTTATTATTCCCATATCTTTTTGGAGAAGTAGTAGAGAGAAGCTGTTAAATTTGCAGGATTGTCCTGGGTGATAATGCCTGTAACTCTCCTCCTCTTGGCTCTAAATGGGTAGGGCTGGTTCCCAGGAGGGGGGGGGGGGGTGGCG